AAGAAAGGGCTGTTATCAAGTGATCCATCCCGTTGTCCAGTCCCAGCTTCTGGCAATCAGAGGCTAGGGACACCTGGTGCTTGGGTTGCATCACTGACCATCTTGGCTAATAGCCACTGATGAACCAATCCTCCAAGAACTGATCTCATTCTTTTTTGGAACTCAGTTATAGTTTTGGCCTTGCCAGGGGATGTTGTGAATGAGTTTCCCCAGGTTGACTGTGCATTGCGTGAAGAATGTTTGTTTTAAACCTGCTGTCTATTCATTTCATTGGGTGACCCCTGGTTCTTGTGTTATGTGAAGGGGTAAATAACACTTCCATATCCACCTTTTCCACACCAGCCATGATTTTATAAACCTCCATCATATCATCCCTTAGAGGTCTCTTTTGCAAGCTGATCAGTCCCAGTCTTTTTAATCTGTTCCTATGGAAGCTGTTCCATACCCCTAATAATTTTTGTTGCCCTTCTCTGAACCTTTTCCAATTCTAATATATCTTTTTTGACATGGGGCAACCAGAATACACATACTGTTCAAAGTGTGGACGTACCATGGCTTCATATAGTGGCATATATTTCTGACTTATTATCTATCCCTTTTCTAATGATTCCCAACATTCTGTTCACTTTCTTGACTGCCGCTGCACATTGAGTGGATGTTTTCAGAGAACTATCCACAGTGACTCCAACATCTCTTTCTTGAGTGGGAACAGCTAACTTAGACCCCATTATTTTGTATGTATAGTTGGGATTATGTTTTCCAATGTGCATTACTTTGCATTTGTCAACATTTAATTTCATCTGCCATTTTGTTGTCCAGTCACCCAGTTGTAGGAGATCCCTTTGTAACTCTTTGCAGTCTGCTTTGTACTTAACTATCTTAAATAATTTTGCATCATCTATAAACTTTGCCACCTCACTGTTTACCCCTTTTCCAGATAATTTACAAATATATTGACTAGCACTGGTCCCAGTACAGATTTTCAGGGGACCCTGCTATTTACCTCTGCCCACTGTGAAAACTGACATTAATTCCTTCTCTGTTTCCTGTTAACTAATTATTGATCAATGAGGACCTTCCCTCTTATCCCATGACAACTTATTTTCCTTAAGAGCCTTTGGTGAGGGACCTTGTCAAAGGCTTTCTGAAAGTCCAAGTGCTCCTTTGGCACCTTGATGACCTAGTGGCCCACTGATTGTTTGGAAGGCTTCCTGCTTCTGATGAGCTTAAAGGATTTTTTACTGGCAGTTTTTCTCTTTTGCTAATTACTTTTCAAATTCTTTTTTCAGCTGTCTAACTCATTAATTCCTTCTTAAGCACCTGGCATTGGCCACTGTTTACAGACAGGATACTAGGTTAAATGAACCGTTGGTCTGATTCAGTATGGTTGTTCTTATGTTAATTATAATTTTATACTTCACTTGCCAGAGTTTAGGCTCCTATTTTCCTCAGTAGGATTTGACTTCTAATTTATAAAGCATGCCTTTTTGCCTCTAACCACCTCTTTTACTCTGTTGGTTAGCCATGTAGTATTTTTTTGTTCCTCTTACTACAGTAACTCCTCGCTTAATGTTGTAGTTATGTTCCTGAAAAATGCAACTTTAAGCAAATCCAATTTCCTCATAAGAATTAATGTAAATAAGGGGGGTTAGGTTCCAGGGAAATTTTTCACCAGACAAAAAAGTATATACACACATACACAGTATAAGTTTTAAACAAACAATTTAATACTGTACACAGAGCAATGGTGATTGTGAAGCTTGGTTGAGGTGGTGAAGTCAGAGGATGAGATATTTCCCAGGGAATGCCTTTCTGTTAAATGATGAACTAGCACTTGGCTGAGCCCTCAAGGGTTAACACGTTGTTAATGTAGCCTCACACTCTACAAGGCAGCACAGATGGAGGGAGGGGAGACAGCATGGCAGACAGAGACACATACCCTGTGTGTGGAAAAGAGAGAGAGAGATGTGCATTGCCCCATTAATTATGCTGACCCCACTCTAAGTACATTGCCTTTTTAAGTATATCAGCAAGTTGAGACAGCAGCTGCGGCCAGCACGCTCTCTCCGTCCTGTTCCCACCCTGCTCTACATGGAGAAGGGGTAAGCGGGGGTCAGGAGCAAGGGGAAGGGGAACACCCTGACGTTAGCGTCCCTTCTTTCCCCCCCCCCCGCCCCCACACAGGAAGCAGGAGGCTCCCGGGAGCAGCTCCAAGGTAGAGGGCAGGAGCAGCACATGGCAGTGAGGGGAGGGACAGCTGAACTGCTGGCAATTGATAGCCTGCTGGGCAGCTGCCGCACAGGGAACTTACGGGAGAGGGGAGCTGATGGGGGGGCTGCCGGTCCACCCTGGTTCCAAGCCCCCACCAGCTAGCTCCAATGGGCTACTCTTTCTGCAAGCAGTGGACAAAGCAGGCGGCTGCCAAACAACATAAGGGACCATTGCGCAACTTTAAACGAGCATGTTCCCTAATTGATCAGCAACAAAACAACGTTAACCGGGATGACTTTAAGTGAGGAGTTACTGTATTTTTTTTATTTGTGGTATACATTTAAGCCTCTAATATGGTGCTTTAAAGCGTTTCCATGCAGTTTGCAGGCATTTTACTACTGAGATTGTTAGTTTTAATTTCTGTTTAACTAGCTTCCTCATTTTTGTGTAATTCCCCCTTTTTTTAAAGTTAAATGCTACTATGATGAGTTCCTTTGATATTTCCCCCCACCCCCCAGATGTTAAATTTAATTACATTATTGACACTCTCTCACCAAGCGGTTCAACTATATTCACTTCTAATCTCTGTCACTATCCTGGTCAGGTGGTATATTCCTACTGCTATATTCTTATTATTCAAGCATGGAATTTCTATCCACAGCAAATCTGTGGTGCTGTTTGATTAGTTTAAGATTTTTACAAGTTTCACTCTGTTTTCTTTCACACTCCTCCACTAGCATGACCTGCTCTGTCATTACAACATATATAGGATCTTGGTATTACTGTGTCCCATTGGTTATCATCATTTAACACTAGGCACTCAAGTTCTCCCATCTTAGTATTTAGACTTCTTGCATTTGTATACAAGCACATATAAAACTGGTCAATATTTGGTTGTCTGCCTTTGTGATATAATTGAATGGGACTCTTTCATTTGACTGTTTCTCTTCAGTTCCTACTTGCACTTTATCAACTTTTGTACTCGCCTCTTTACTAGGGCATAGAGAATCCTCATTAGTAGATCCTCCCCTAAGGGATGTGGCTGCCTAAACCACGCACTCCTCTGCACCTGTCAGCTTTCCCTCAGCCCTTAGATTAAAAACTCCTTTGCAACCTTTTTAATTTGACATGCCAGCAATCTGGTTCTGTTTGGGTTAGGTGGAGCCCCTCCCTCTGGTATTGGCTTCTTCTTTCCTTAATAAACCTAAGCCCCTCTTCCTAACACCATTGTCTCATCTACGCAATGAGACCTTGCAGTTCTGCCTGTCTGGACCTGCACATGGAATTGTAAGCATTTCAGTGTAATAGAGCAGTTCCCTATTCCTGGACTCTAGCCTCTTACCTAGCAGTCTACATTTGGCCCCCAGGACCTCACCTGCCTTCCCCTATGTCACTGGTACCTAGATGTAGCATGACCACTGGCCCCTCCCAAGCACTGCAAATACATCTGACTAGATGTCTTGAGAGCTGCAACCTTTGCACCTGGCAGGTAATTCACCAGGCGGTTCTCACAAACCAACCTGTTTTTCTAATAATTGAATCCCCCATTACTATTAGCTGTCTCTTCCTAATTAGTGGAGTCCTCTTCCCTGGAAGGGTGTCCTCAGTGTAAGATGAGGGTCCTAAGTAAGGGTTTATTGCCTTCCACTCCAGCTTGATGCTCTCTTTCCCTGAGACCTTCATCCTCCTCAGAAGCCCCGAGGCTGTCAGACCAAGGGTGGGCCCGCTCTGCTGTGTCCCAGAAAGTCTTGACGTTGTACCGTTCTGTCTCCCTTAGCTCCGTCGGTTCAGCTACTCTAGTCTCTGAGGGCCAGGAGCTGCTTGCAGCCATGTGCCCATGAGGCAGGTAATCATCCATCCTACATTCAGTGCAATAAACTGGAGAGCCCCTGCTCTGCTGCTGGACTTGTTCTCTTGCCTGCAGTATTTGTACTCTTGGAGCCTGTGGTGGGAGAGGGGAGTCTTTCTTGGCCTAACTTTAGGGAATAGAAAGTGTATCTGGCTCTCTCACTCACTCTAACCTCCCCTCGTTGCTTTGGCACTGGCTTTTCAACCCCTGTCTACCCGAGTAGCTGTGCCTTCTGGTTAAGGGTTCAAGACTTAGGGATCAAAGCTCTCAGCTAACCTCAGCACATGGTCCTCAACCAGCCCACACTATACACTTCAGTCAAACAGGCCCATAGCAAGTACACACCATACTCATCCCAAGGGTCAGGGAGAGCTCTGTGGAGTGCTACAAACTTGCAGCCTTGCTGGCTGAGCAGGTCCCAGAAAGGTGAGGGATGGTTATAAAGAGTAGCCCTAGAGCTGTGCTGTCATTGGGGTCCTGAGGAGGCCTCTGACCCACAGCACTCTGAGCGTGGCTGAGCACTGCAGCTCCCCCCCCAAACAGTCTGTATGGGCTGGCCCCTTCTGAGGGCACAGGCAATTGCAAGCATCTGTAACAGCACTTCCCTTAGAGGTAGCTACCCCCTCTCATGCAGGACTCTGTGACAAGGCGTGGTTATGTAGGGACAGGATGACCCTGGGATTGCCTATTGGGAAGGGGGGAGCCTGGGGTGGAGGCTCCTCTCTCTCGCCTACCTGCAACAGTGTGGGTTACAGTGAGCTCAGCAACTGACCTGAGGAGCAGGCCCTTGCTGGGCTACCAGGTCTGGCATCTGTGCCTAAGTACTGGCGGATGCAGCATTTTTGGGGGTGCAGGCAGGCTCTCATCTCTGTGGGAGAGCTATGGGGCCTCCTCTAGCAGAGCAGGCTGGGAGTGTGACTCCTTTGGGCTGGTATCTCCTAGCACAGGGCTGCCTTGAACCAGGGAGCTCCCTGCTGCTGGGTGAGGGTCCCCTATGCTGATAGTGAATCAGCTAGGACTTGGGTCCATGGCTCTCCTTGCTTAGCCATCTGCTCTGTTCTCAAAGGGCAGCCCCTCCAGCCAGCCATTCATCTGAAGGCATACATGTCAGGCCTTGGCCAGACACCCCTAGCACCATGAGGGCTGGAGCAGTGGGGATTGGTGCCAGGGCAGGCAGCTGCCCCTGTAGTGTGGGCCCACACCCACCTCGCTCTTCCTTTCCAGGACCCAAGTGCTCAGATCGGTGAGAACTGCACAATTGGCCCCAATGTCACCATTGGGGCTGGGGTGGTGGTGGAGGATGGGGTACGGATCAAGCGCTGCACCATCCTGAAAGGCTCCCGTATCCGCTCTCACTCCTGGCTAGAGTCCTGCATTGTTGGCTGGCTGTCGTCTGTTGGCCAGTGGGTGAGTTACCTAGTAGACAGGCGCATGCCTGCAGCAGGGCCCAGCAGCCAGGGGGCTGGCTGTGTCTCTATCACAGACACTTGCTGGTTAGTTGACTCTACACATGGCTGCTAGTGCTCCCTGGTGAGTCATGGCTGTGACCATTTTCTTTTGGGGGGCATTGGAGGGGCCCACGCCTGGCTGGCTTGGGGGTGCCAAGGCCCACAGTGGCAGCAATGCCCAGGACACAGTCCCTTCCTGCACAAGAACAGAGGTGGCAGCTGGCATCTGTATCCTCACCTCCACCTCTGGGATGGAGAATCTGGCTTTAGGACAGGCTGGAGTTAGAGAGACCAGATTCCAGTTCATCCCTCCTCTGTGAGCAGGCATGGGAGGGGCTTGGCAGCTTGAAAGGGCCTGGCTGCTCCCAGCCCTGAGAATGGGTGGGGGGGCACTGTTGCTGTGCCTGGCTGCAGTGGGGGAGGTCCTATCTCTCCTCCAGCCTTTGGCCCCAGCTTGTCATGGGGGAAGGGGCCCAAGCAGGAGAGGCAGCTCAGAGTTGGGGGGCTGAAGCACTGGGCATAAGGCAAGTCCACCCACATACCCAAGCTGTGGAAGACATGCTGCCTCTGATGCAGGGAGCATGTATGTGGTGGGGCCTGGCTGACAGGCGGCCTGTCTTGGTTAGGTGCGGATGGAGAACGTGACAGTGTTGGGCGAGGATGTCATCGTCAATGACGAGCTCTATCTCAACGGGGCCAACGTGCTGCCACACAAGTCCATTGCCGAGTCGGTGCCAGAGCCTCGTATCATCATGTAGCTGCTGGGCCAGGCCAGCTCCCCTGCTACTGAACTGTTAACACTTTGGTTCCTGGAGCAGAGCCCTGCACACAGGGTGGGGGCGGTATGGGAACTGGCTCTGCTGGCACAGCATGGAGCAGTACTGGGCCCTCATGGGCTGCTGTTGGGAGGGGGGGAAGGGAGCTCCATGGTGGAGCAGCAGAAAGCAGGGAGCCACAGCTGCGACATGCGTGTCTTGGGTGCTGGTAGGAGCCAGGTGTGCCACTGAGGGCCAGGCCTACAGGGCCCCACCCAATACAATTACACTGTCTAAAAGCGCGGAATGGCCTCATGTCACCTTCTTGCTGTGGCTGGTCCTGTGGCCCCTGCCCTCCCCATATTGCCCCTGTGCTCCCCATATCACTCCTGGGTGTCTCCATCCCTGAGGCAGGTGCCCTGGCCCAGCTGCTCTTAGATCCACAGGCCTTGCGTTCCCATCTGTTGCACACACAAGATGCCACCCCATAAGGAAGAATAATTTAATGCTCTTGTGCAGAGAATTGACCCCAGCTGGGGCAGGTAACACAGCACCCGATGCACAACACAGAGCAATCCCACAGGGCTGGTCACAAATCACACTCTACTGCTAGTCCCACCCCACCTGCAGCAGAGCTCAAGCATTAGCCTCTCCCCCAGCTGAGAGACCTAGGCCAAGGATTCTGCACCAAGCAGCAGGGATCCCCACCCCCGCTGCCAGCTAGCACATGCTCCTGCAGCTGTAGGGCAAGGTGCCACATACTTCTCCCCCACCAGGCTGAAGCTGGGGGACTGCAGGCTACCAGACCCCAGCCAATTACTGCCCCTCAGAGAACTCAACCACGAGGGTCCAGGCCTAGTCCAAGCCAGCTGTGACCAGCCTCTGCTCTGTCTAGCTTAGCACAGAAGCAGTAGCTCTCCGCAGTCTGGCTGCCCAGTACCCAGAGCTTGGGCCAAAGCGTGCCCCACCCCCAGCAAAGGGAAGCTGGCAGTGGCCCATCGCAGCAGCACACAGGTTCACATATGAACGAACGCTCCATAGAAAATGGCAACAGCAGCAGGACAGGCCCTGAGGTCAGCCAGGCTCCTGCAGGCCGTGGCTGAGACTCCAGTAGGTACATGCTGGCATTAGCCTCACCGGGGAAAGGCATCGCCCCTCAGCCCTTACTGCTCAGGCCTCCCCCTGACCTGTTGAACAGACTGAGCCCAGCCTTGGCTCAGACAGGGCAAAAGCAGCACCTCCACCATCTGCTGGTGGCCCTCATGCTTGTGAGCAAGGGGGCTGGGCTGTGGAAGGGCCCACAACTAACCAGAGCTGGGCAACCCACTTCTGGAGGCTGAGGGAAAGGAGCCTCAGCAGCCTGCAGGGTCAATCCCCCCACTAGGAGCTGCCTGGCTTGGTGAAGTCATCCACGCCTGTGATGGTGGCCTTGCAGAAGAAGCAGTCCTTGTTGTTCATCAGGTGCTGGTTGATGCAGGCTCTGAAAAGACAAAGCTTGTACCATGAGGGAGCTGTGCCCAGCCCTGCACCCAAGCACTCCCAGGCAAAGTGCTTCCCTTGAGCAGTGGAGCCCACGACTGCACCCCTGCTCTGTCACCCTGCAGCGAGGCCTGGAGCCCCAGTGTGGTGAGGGATGGGGGCTGGCCCTCTCCCCAGGGGAGCCCCTCCCAGCACATGCAAAAAGGTCCAAGAGCTTCCATGGAGCATGAGCCAGGTCCTTGGGCTCCAGACGCAGGTAGTCTTTACCAGTAGAGGGGTTCAAGGGGAGCAGAGAAGCAGAGCTCTCCCTAGCTCCTAGCCTGTAGGGCTGAGCAGACTCCCTTGTTCCTGGCCCCCAGCAGGGAGGGAAAGGGCAGAGGGCCACCGCAGTTACTCACTTGCAGGACTTGTGGGAGCATGGCCTGAAGATGGCTGAGATCGGGTGTGCGTAGCAGATGGGGCACAGGTCCTCCTCACTGGTAGGCTGCAAAGACAATCACCCGGCCTTGATTAGCAGGTGAAGGCACCCACACACACCCCAGTGGTTGCCTCCTGCCAGACAGCAGCACTGGGGGTGCTGCACCAAGCAGCCTGAGCCCAGCCCTCCTGTCCCTTGTAGCCCAGGCTGGCAGCTGCCCCTTGGTTGCTCAGGCTTGTGTCCTGTGCAGTACCCCTGGGCCAGGGCAGTGGGACACAGCCTTGTGCAGTCTCACCCAGTGTGGCAGGGATTTAATCCTGGAGATACTCAGACTACCTGGGGACTCCCAGTCGCACCTCACACCCCAGGTTTGGCCAAACGAGCCTCTGCCCGGGGGAGTTTTCCCAGCCAGCCCTCACTCCGACATGCCCACTGTGCAGCAGGGCAGCAACCCCCCCACCCTGTGTGGCCAGTTCCCAATGGTTCCAGCTGCCAGGCATAGAGAAGTGGGTACATGTAGCATTCAGCAGAGCGCTGGGTACACAGCTGGCTGGGCTGTGCAGTGTGTGGCCGAGCCAAGCAGCCTGTGCGAAGCCAGCCCCCCGGCTGCCCAGGCTGAACCCTCCCAAGTCACCATCTGAGCTGGCATGACGGGTTCCCCCACTCCACCACAGGAAGGGTACTCTCCCCCGCCCCTCCCCGCAAGACTGCTGGTTTCTGGGCTGGGTGCATACCAGGCAGGGACTCACCAGCATGGAGGCAGCTGCCTGCTTTGACTCTTCACTCAGGTGGCCCAGCATCCGCTCCACCTTGGCCAGCTCCTCCTGGCTGATGTAGTCGGTGTCTGTGGAGAGAAGGGCTGAAGTGAAAGGGAAGAGAGCACCAGAGCTGGCACCAAACGGGAGGGTGGTACTTGTGGGGCACACAGCACAGCTCTGTGGCTGACTTCATGCCAGGACACCCCACTGGCTGAGGGCTGCCCACGAATGGTAAACTGCAGCTGTGTTGGCTGGACAGAACCATGGCCCTGTGTGAACTGCAATGTGTCCCCACAGGCAGGCACACGATGAGCCGGAGGGGGTGTCCAGGATCCCGGCAGCATAGGAGACAAGCAGAGCGCTGGTCATGCCTCTCCCTGCCTGCAGGGCAAGGCCAGAGAGAGACTGTCACCTGCTCTCTACCAGCAGCTGTGTGCATGCATTAGAGCCTGCCTGGAAGCCACTGGTGGGCAAGCAGCATTGAGTGGGGTTTGGAGAGGGCACTGAGGGTCAGAGGGCCCGAAGGTGGCATCCAAACAAATAGGTTGGGCTGGGGGGAGCTAGGGAGGACCAAGATGGCAACAGGCCTAGGCCAGCAGGGATGTGAGGGGGCAGATCCTGGGAGAGGCTGCAGTGTCAAGGCCTAGGGCAATGAAGGGATAGTGTGTGAAGGGGGCACCAAAGCTGTGTGATGGGGGGCTGGGCAACCCTGACAAGACAAGAGAGGTTGGAGGCACACAGTGTTTGAGGGACCCTGGGCCAGCCATGCCGTTTCCAAAGGGGGCAGGGAAAATTCCTCAAAGATTATTTCCTTTCTGCTAGCTAGCAGCATCTCCTCTCACTGCAGCTCTCGGAGCTGGATCAGCATGCTGTGGCCATGCCCCCTCTGCTCCCGCTTGCTGCCAGAGGAATATTTCCAAGCGGTAAAACTGGAACAGCGTTAACAAATATTCCAGAGATAATGACATTATGTACATTGAACCAAGGAAGACAATCCTATGGTAAATATTCCACTTAGTATCCAACTCTGGCTCCTGAGCCATCCAGGGTGGGGACAACTGTGGGAGACGATGCTAGCAGAAAGCAAGTTATTTCTACAAAATTTTCTGTTCTGCAGCCCAGTGTCTCCCACAGTTCTGGCTGTCTGGAAAGTAGTGAGCAGATGTAGGGAGGGTTATGAAACAAAAGTTTGATAGGAAAGTATCCCCTACCCCTTTTGTGAACTTGCTCAAAAGTCTGTACTATTTCTGAGCCACTGCCTGCAGCACCATTCTGCCACAGGAGCCTCTGCAGAAGACAGAAGGCCCACCCTGTGGAGCTTAATGAAGGGGTTAGCTGTAGACCAAGTGGCCACTTTGTAAATTTCCAAAGCACTTGCTTATCTCTCCCATGAGGCTGCTAAGGATCTCATGGAGTGCACCTTGATCCCTTCTGGGACTGGAGCCTCTGAGGATTCAGGATTCCACAATACATAGTCTGATCCACCTAGCAATGGAGGACTTCGAAGCTCTGATTCTCTGGCATTTCGAGTAGGACGACACAAATTTGGAGCCCGATCTTCTTGTGGATTCTGCACATTTGAGAGATTTTCAAAGCTCTTCTGACATTCCAGGTCTACAACATCTTTGCCATTGGATATTGTAGTTTTAGACAGAACAAAGGAAGCACAGCCTCTTGGGAAGTGTGGAAGGAGGAATTTACCTTAGCAAGAAAGGATGCTGGTGTCCCAAGCCCGACCTTGACCTGATGGAACACCCAGTAAGGCTCACATGTGGATAAGGCTGCCAGCTCCGACACTTGCCTGGCAGACATGACAGTTACTAAGAACAAGTCTTAAGGATAAATGAAAGGCCGACACTGGAGTCAGAAGCTCAAAGGGATGGCTGGCAGGGCCCTCAAAACTAGCAGTAGGTCCCATGCTGGGAAGACTGGCCTGGCTGCTGATCTGGCTAATCGGACTGCTAGAAGGAATCTGGCTACCTATGGATGGTCTGCAAGGAGGGCAAGGATCCTACAAATAGCACAATATTAAGAGCAGACACCTGACATGAAATGCAACAGAAGGTCCTGTGGCACCTTTAAGACTAACAGAAGTATTGGGAGCATAAGCTTTCGTGGGTAAGAACCTCACTTCTTCAGATGCAAGTAATGGAAATTTCCAGAGGCAGGTATAATCAGTACGGAGATAACGAGGTTAGTTCAATCAGGGAGGGTGAGGTGCTCTGCTAGCATTTGAGGTGTGAACACCAAGGGAGGAGAAACGGCTTCTGTAGTTTGATAGCCATTCACAGTCTTTGTTTAATCCTGCTTTGATGGTGTCAAATTTGCAAATGAACTGGAGCTCAGCAGTTTCTCTTTGGAGTCTGGTCCTGAAGTTTTTTTGCTGTAAGATGGCTACCTTTACATCTGCTATTGTGTGGCCAGGGAGGTTGAAGTGTTCTCCTAGAGGTTTTTGTATATTGCCATTCGTGATATCTGACTTGTGTCCATTTATC